AAATATTTATATTCAGTATTTGTAATCGTTGCAAGCAAACCCCATTTATATTCAGTATTTCAACAACCATAGTAATTGTTATATAACACCTACTGCTGAGAATGACGAGAATTGCCGTGAATCAAATGAACTATTTTTGATTTGATCAATTTTCTGGAACGTTTACAATCGTTTCATAATCAAACCAATATGCAATAACAAATTTGAATTTAAAATGGTTCGAACATTTGGATGAAAAATAGAAATATATAAATATTTATATTCAGTATTTGTAATCGTTGCAAGCAAACCCCATTTATATTCAGTATTTCAACAACCATAGTAATTGTTATATAACACCTACTGCTGAGAATGACGAGAATTGCCGTGAATCAAATGAACTATTTTTGATTTGATCAATTTTCTGGAACGTTTACAATCGTTTCATAATCAAACCAATATGCAATAACAAATTTGAATTTAAAATGGTTCGAACATTTGGATGAAAAATAGAAATATATAAATATTTATATTCAGTATTTGTAATCGTTGCAAGCAAACCCCATTTATATTCAGTATTTCAACAACCATAGTAATTGTTATATAACACCTACTGCTGAGAATGACGAGAATTGCCGTGAATCAAATGAACTATTTTTGATTTGATCAATTTTCTGGAACGTTTACAATCGTTTCATAATCAAACCAATATGCAATAACAAATTTGAATTTAAAATGGTTCGAACATTTGGATGAAAAATAGAAATATATAAATATTTATATTCAGTATTTGTAATCGTTGCAAGCAAACCCCATTTATATTCAGTATTTCAACAACCATAGTAATTGTTGTATAACACCTACTGCTGAGAATGACGAGAATTGCCGAGAATCAAACGAACTATTTTTGATTTGATCAATTTTCTGGAACGTTTACAATCGTTTCATAATCAAACCAATATGCAATAACAAATTTGAATTTAAAATGGTTCGAACATTTGGATGAAAAATAGAAATATATAAAAATATTTCTAACAATGTCTGAAATGTTATTAATTTAATACACCTAAGTATTCGATGAAGACTAAATCCTCTCCCTCTCCCGTTCGCGGGGGAATTTTGAAAAATCCCTTCTTAGTGTGCATTGCCATGGCATATCCTACTAAATACCCTACTAAAACACAGATAAAAACAAAAAATCTCATCTAAAATAGTACAGTAGAAGCCATTCTTCCGGTTAACCCTTAATGCTCTCCCTCTCCCCCGTGGGGGAATTTTGAAAAATTCCTTCTTATTGTGCATTCTCATGGCATACCCTACTAAAACACAGATAAAAACAAAAAATCGCATCTAAATTGTACAGTAGAAGCCGTTTTTCCAGTTAACCCTTAATGTTCTCCCTCTCCCCTGCGGGGGAATTTCGAAAAATCCCTTCTTAGTGTGCATTCTCATGGCATATTCTACTAAAACGCAGATAAAAACAAAAAATCGCATCTAAAATAGTACAGTAGAAGCCGTTTTTCTGGTTAAGCCTTAATCCTCTCCCTCTCCTCCCGCGGAGGAATTTCGAAAAATCCCTTCTTAGTGTGTGTTTCCATGACATACCCTAACTGTCTACCAAATTTCACTTCTTTAGGTTAAGTGGTTTGCTCTGGGCAATGATGAATCAGTGAGTGAGTCAGGACAAGCAATTTGATATATTTAGATAATTACTAAAAAGAAGATAATCAAAGTAAAATAATTGTTTAAATATGCTTACATAATTACATGCATGGTGTACTTTATTCACTAGATAATTCTATTAAAAATGTTAAAATGTGATATAGTTATCACTATGTCTGCAACAACAGTAATCCTTGTGGTTGTGATAGACACTTTAACATTAGATGTTACCACAGTGCAGTAGGAAATATTTTAAAAAAAACTGTACTTTCTTTAGTATAACTAGTATATTTTATACATCAGCATGTGCACTTGAATATTAAAGATAAGTGAGAGATACCAAAAGATTTAAATGAGGTTTATGTCCAGAAATTGTAGAGTAATAAATCTCCCACAAGCATTATACAACAATTACTGTTTTGTAATCAATCCAATCTGCTTTGGACTGCCATCTTACTGAAACATATAAGACTTAGTGCAGCAAAACTGGGCTTGTCTTTTAAATTGCTGTTTAACCCATTGATTATTTTCTGGTATACATTATATCATTAATAAAAGCTATATTTCCATTTTTATAAGCTATTCATCCCCAAATATTTGTGATCACCAGCATACTTTTTGATAGGCTGAAGATTTTTTTTTTATATTAAGTGCAGTGTTTGGTTTTCTGCATACAAAATTTTTCTATCAGCCAAATGGATTAATTTTCATTTCATCAGAAAATATAACATTTCAAAATTCAAACATTTTTGACTATTTTCTCACTAATGAAAGGTTTTTTTTCTCACCATTCTCTCATGTAATTGTGCATTATATAGTATATTTCTTATTGTTTGAGCTGAAACATACTTGCCTGAATTTTAGCAATATGAATAGCTAAACTTTGAACACTCAAAAAAGGTTTTTAATAACTTTGCTTACAATGTGTTCAATTATGATTTCCTGGTTGTAAGATTCTTTGAATGACCAACTTACTTTCTCTTACTCATACGTCTAGTCACTTGTTTTTTAATAACATATGTTACTGTCAAAAAGTTCAAATTTAAGGTTTTTATCCATTTGACAATAAATTTTTCCTTCATTGTGCAAAAAGTTATTTTTTTTCTACATACATGATACTAATTTAGACATTTTGAGTATCATTTGGAATTAAAACAGCAAATACAGAAAACTGTTAGTTACAAATTCACAAAAATAACTACTAATTGTTTTACTTTTTTTTATTGATATTGTCTATTTGGACCTTGTTTAATAATAGGACTGTAGTTTCTGATTAGCAAAGAGAGGAAATTTTAGTCAAAAGTCAAAACAAAATATCTTTATTTTCACCCATGAAAATATCTTTATTTTAATTCAATAAAAATTGTATTAAATCAAAATTGTTTAAAAAGAAAGTTCATGTAAAAACAGTATTAGGTGTATATATAGATAGATACATTATACTTCTTAATGTAGATATACTGTTTTTACATGAACTTTTTTAAGCAATTTTGATTTAATATGATTTTTAAAAACAAAAAAGTTTCTTTTTACATGAGTTGTTTTAATAAAATATGCAAAAGGTTTTATATGAATTAACATAACTTTTTGCCCAACACATTTTTTTATTTAAAAAAAAATCAAATAATTGCAAATTAAAGGAGATCTTGATCTAGCTAACAAATTGGGCAATAATTTTGTCAAGTATAATTGTATAATAGCTTTAAAGTTTCAGTGTGATCTGAAATCATTATTTAATTCTCCATAAAACAACATTAAAGGCCTAGCCACAATACAAACCGAGCTATTAAAAACTGAATTTATTCATAACATCACCAACATCAGCACCACACAACATTATTGCTAACATTGTTCAGAAGTTCACAGAAAGAACTTCACTTGTGAATGAAGAACATGATAACCAAAGCATGTTTAGTGATAGCAGTGATATTGCAATCATGCACAAATGTATGTGTTTATTGTCAGAAAGTGACAGTGAATAAAATCTTATGTATAACTCACAATACATATTTTGCCCAATTTTAATGTTGATTAATTCTTTGTTTTTTTCAAATGAAATTTATGTTCCTATAATATATTTTTATTTATGTGCAATGTATATGCAGGGTTCCTATGCACCTAGAAAGTCAGGGATTTTCATTAGTGTTTGGAAAAAGTCAGGGAAGTTGCCTCTTTGGTTACCTTGATTTTTTTTTTGCTGATTAATATGCTTGACTAAGTGCAGGCAGCAAGAAGTAATGTTTTGCAATAATCTTATGAAAAGAGGTGCAGAATATTTTCAAGACTCAAAATTTCCCCAAAAATTTACAAAGTACAAAAAATGATAAATAATATTAATTTAATTTATATTTATCATTTTCATTTTAATAATTTAGATTGCATAACAAAATAATTTCTGATTATTTTTTTAGTTTATAAATATTTTATAAAGTTCAAGAAATTTATTAAGGGATAAATTTAATAAATATATACTTTTATACTTGAAGGAGTCCTTATATGAAGTCCTTAAGAAGGATCTTGCCTTCTTAAGGACTTCATATTGCTGATTACTAATATTCTTGTTTGTATAATTCTTCTAAAAAATTGGGTTGGAGGCCTCAAAAGTATTTATTACAACACTGTTGACTATTATGAATTGATGATGATGATGATCTATACATTTTTTATTTTAATGATTTTCTTGAAAAATATAAAGAAAAATCATCAGGAGACTTTGTATCTCCTGACAATGGGTTTGGTTGCCCAAAAATGTTTTGAAAAACAGACTCATGAGATTTAGAATGAGCTTCCACAATCCTATCTTTGCACGTTTATGAAAAAAACACTTGGCAATCCAATGATCCAAAAATAGAATTCAACTTTATTTTGTCTGGTTGGTTGTGGAGTTCAAAGAATTGTTTAATATGAAGTTCAGTTGAAAATCCTAATAATAAAGGAAAGCAGATTTTGTTTATATTTTAATGAAATTTGGCATGAATTATTATTTACTTTACGAATAAAAACAAAAACTTTTTATTAATAATAATTAATAAATTATTGTATCTATATGNCAATTCAAAAGATGAATCAGTTAATCAAATAAGAACCATTAAATCATTTAAAATTAGAACGGAACTGACATCACATCACTTTAAGTTTGTTGTTTGATTAGATTACAAAACTTCCTCTTTTTTTATTTACTTAATTAATTCATTCGTTAATTTAGATTTTAAGCATTTATTTTATTTGAAGGTAAAATATAAAAAGAAAATTACTTTTTATTGATTGTTTTGAATGTAATGTGTCTTACAATTCAAATATGATTTTGAAAATTTGAATTAACCAATAAGAGTCTTTTCTGATGATCATCATCTGATCTTAAAATTAAAAGTTGTGTCCAATTTAATATAATTTTATCTGGCAATTATCTTATTTATCTGTTGATTTAATACTGTTGTTAAGTTTTATTCACAATCCTTGTAAGTAGTTCTCTTATTATTATTATTAATATACAGTATTAATATATAACAAAATATAGGAGATAGTTTCTTACAAAATTGGTAGGAAACAGCTATTATTTCACTAGCAAAAAAGTATCTGCACACTTGTGAATAGGTGTGCGACACAATCACACCAGTAATATGTACAGTACATGATATATAACCTGTGTTAAAATTCGTTTATGTTGCAATATGAACTGTATTTGTTTATATTAGTTATGTATTTATAAGAATATTCAGGAATTGGTACATGTTAAAACAATTATTTTAAATTAATTCTTTGGCTAGCTATTTACAAGATATAGTTAGATTGAAAGTTTTTTTATATAATTAAAAAATGAGGAAAATAAATTTTAAAAGGTAAAATAGAATCGTGCTATAATGGAACTAGATGCGTCACTATTATTGTCTTCTGGAATAGGAATTGTTTTTGTCTAAAACAACTATAAACATGAAACTAAGTGGTAGTAATAAGTTATTGAATATGTTCCTGTCAAAATATATGCAGATTATGACACACTTTTAAATCAAAATGTGCTGTGATTACTTGAAATTGTTGATTTAAAATTTTGAAGTGAGGCATTTGATGGCAGCACTTCTGATTTTCTGGAGTTTGAAGTTATACTTGTATGATTGGCAGAATTTTGGTCATGTGTCATATATAAAATTGGGAGGTTGCCAATGGGTTGCAATGGAGTATGGATGAGGAGTGAAAAGATCATGTGGGTGCAATCAGCACTGAGACAGACTCTACAGTTTCAATGAACATTTATTTGACACAAAAGGAGCTTATAAGATTTCTGTGATCTTGGAAGTTTAAAGTTGGCAGTGGCTTCTGGGACATCACCTCCTTTTCAAGATAGTCCCAAATGGAGGCATGTCCCTGGTTTGTGAATGAGAATTCCCTTCGTGGCTTCAGAATGATGCAGTTGACTTCTGGTGATGGGAAGATGTCAATTCGAAGAAGGGAGGTGGAGACAATGATGGGCATGAGACACACATAACAATTGGTCCTACAATTGGAACTTTTGGGAGAAGAAGCTGTCATATCCTTGAAATTCTGGATTTTTATAATTTTTGCTTTCCTTGTTGTTATAACAAAGGGAAAGAATGGCAATCAGGCAAAAAAAATGACCCCCCAGATTTTTACATTTTTGGACTTAGGAAACCTTGAAATGTCGAGAAATGCAAAAAATAATTTGAGGATAATTTCTGTATGTGTGGATATTAAGTGTGTGTGTTTGTGGAGCACAAGTTTGTTCACTATTTGAACCTTAATAACTCTTGTGCTTTTTGTCAAAAATTTCTGAAATTTTGCAGGGATGTTTGCTTTTTAGGGAGATTGATGTGATTAAATTTTGGTAGTTAAAAGTTGAGGGGGTAGGTAGATAATGGGAGTCATGTATCTCTAGTGGGGTCATACTTAATGACAATTTTACTTGTTATTAGTATTTATAATTTTTTTATAAAATGCATCCCTATCTTCAAAATTAAGCTTTTTGCCATTATATAATAGTTTAAAATAAAATATGATGGTGCCACAAAAATTTTAAATGTTACTGGGGAAATTTCAGCAACTCATTGCTGATTTATTGTTCTTGATCACCCATTCCGACTGTTTGCCTTTCCTTGTTCTCACTTTCTACGTGGTTGATTACTTGTTACTAAGTGTAACAAGATCTTAGCTTAGATAGCAGGAGAATCAAAATTGACATTTAATTTGATCCCCAACTGGAGATGGTTGATCTTAGGACTTATATTTTTCTATTGTTTATACATTTAAATTTCTTTTCTTTCAAAAATATTTTAATGTAAATTTTAGTGATGGTTTGGACCTGTCTAGAGTGTCACAAAACTTTGATTCTGATTGTCTATTTTTTGATGCTTATTCCTTTTACATAAACACACACACACACACGTGTGTGTGTGATATATATATATATATAATCTCAATAATAGCTTGTATCCTTCTCTTGACATTGACTGTATTAAATTTATTTCTTTTTAAATATTTTCTACTCTTTGATCATAGTATGTTTTTTAAATTATTTTTGCTAGAAATTTTTATTTTCCTTAATCTTTAGTATGTGCCTGTAGATATGTTGTAAATACCTGTGTGTATATTGTTTCTACCAAAACAAAAAGTGCTCAAAAATTACAGAAACAATAGGAAATTGTCTTAATGAAAACAATTTCCTATTAAAACATTAGGGTATTAAAACATATTAAAACAAAAGGGTATTAAAACATTTTGAAAAAAATAAGAAAACATTGAAAAATATACCTGAATGTAAAACTATTCTATATCATCATCAAAATCTGTTATTGCGCTCTGAACAAGTGATCACTATAACAGCATACAATGCATGTAATCATTGTTATCTTGCTTTTTTTATTTCTACAATACAAACCTCATTTTCATATTTTCAATGGTGTTTTTTTTCTCTTGCTGATGAATTTTGTCTTTTATATTTTTTTAGAAAAAAATGAATATCTGAAGGTAAGTTCTTCAGTTCTTCTATAGAATTCAGATTTATTATATAGCCTTCTTCTGATGTATCTATTCCTCTTCCAAACTCTTCATAAAATTCTTCATCAAATTACTGCTTGAGCCATAAGACAAAGTTCATTTTCATTGAAAAATTTTAGATCTCTAAGTGGTGCATGGTTCCTACAAAACAGCTTTGTGGTATTGAAAAAGGTGACAGTTTTCAATTTTATGAATAAACTAGCTGTTACCCACGACTTCGCTCGTGAAAATTGTAAGCAAACCCCATTTATATTCAGTATTTCAATTTATATTCAATATTTGTAATCGTTGCAAGCAAACCCCATTTATATTCAGTATTTCAACAACCATAGTAATTGTTATATAACACCTACTGCTGAGAATGACGAGAATTGCCGAGAATCAAACGAACTATTTTTGATTTGATCAATTTTCTGGAACGTTTACAATCGTTTCATAATCAAACCAATATGCAATAACAAATTTGAATTTAAAATGGTTCGAACATTTGGATGAAAAATAGAAATATATAAATATTTATATTCAGTATTTGTAATCGTTGCAAGCAAACCCCATTTATATTCAGTATTTCAACAACCATAGTAATTGTTATATAACACCTACTGCTGAGAATGACGAGAATTGCCGTGAATCAAACGAACTATTTTTGATTTGATCAATTTTCTGGAACGTTTACAATCGTTTCATAATCAAACCAATATGCAATAACAAATTTGAATTTAAAATGGTTCGAACATTTGGATGAAAAATAGAAATATATAAATATTTATATTCAGTATTTGTAATCGTTGCAAGCAAACCCCATTTATATTCAGTATTTCAACAACCATAGTAATTGTTATATAACACCTACTGCTGAGAATGACGAGAATTGCCGTGAATCAAATGAACTATTTTTGATTTGATCAATTTTCTGGAACGTTTACAATCGTTTCATAATCAAACCAATATGCAATAACAAATTTGAATTTAAAATGGTTCGAACATTTGGATGAAAAATAGAAATATATAAATATTTATATTCAGTATTTGTAATCGTTGCAAGCAAACCCCATTTATATTCAGTATTTCAACAACCATAGTAATTGTTATATAACACCTACTGCTGAGAATGACGAGAATTGCCGTGAATCAAACGAACTATTTTTGATTTGATCAATTTTCTGGAACGTTTACAATCGTTTCATAATCAAACCAATATGCAATAACAAATTTGAATTTAAAATGGTTCGAACATTTGGATGAAAAATAGAAATATATAAATATTTATATTCAGTATTTGTAATCGTTGCAAGCAAACCCCATTTATATTCAGTATTTCAACAACCATAGTAATTGTTATATAACACCTACTGCTGAGAATGACGAGAATTGCCGTGAATCAAACGAACTATTTTTGATTTGATCAATTTTCTGGAACGTTTACAATCGTTTCATAATCAAACCAATATGCAATAACAAATTTGAATTTAAAATGGTTCGAACATTTGGATGAAAAATAGAAATATATAAATATTTATATTCAGTATTTGTAATCGTTGCAAGCAAACCCCATTTATATTCAGTATTTCAACAACCATAGTAATTGTTATATAACACCTACTGCTGAGAATGACGAGAATTGCCGTGAATCAAACGAACTATTTTTGATTTGATCAATTTTCTGGAACGTTTACAATCGTTTCATAATCAAACCAATATGCAATAACAAATTTGAATTTAAAATGGTTCGAACATTTGGATGAAAAATAGAAATATATAAATATTTATATTCAGTATTTGTAATCGTTGCAAGCAAACCCCATTTATATTCAGTATTTCAACAACCATAGTAATTGTTATATAACACCTACTGCTGAGAATGACGAGAATTGCCGTGAATCAAACGAACTATTTTTGATTTGATCAATTTTCTGGAACGTTTACAATCGTTTCATAATCAAACCAATATGCAATAACAAATTTGAATTTAAAATGGTTCGAACATTTGGATGAAAAATAGAAATATATAAATATTTATATTCAGTATTTGTAATCGTTGCAAGCAAACCCCATTTATATTCAGTATTTCAACAACCATAGTAATTGTTATATAACACCTACTGCTGAGAATGACGAGAATTGCCGTGAATCAAACGAACTATTTTTGATTTGATCAATTTTCTGGAACGTTTACAATCGTTTCATAATCAAACCAATATGCAATAACAAATTTGAATTTAAAATGGTTCGAACATTTGGATGAAAAATAGAAATATATAAATATTTATATTCAGTATTTGTAATCGTTGCAAGCAAACCCCATTTATATTCAGTATTTCAACAACCATAGTAATTGTTATATAACACCTACTGCTGAGAATGACGAGAATTGCCGTGAATCAAACGAACTATTTTTGATTTGATCAATTTTCTGGAACGTTTACAATCGTTTCATAATCAAACCAAT